CTTATAACAAGAAGTTACAAGATTCCATAAGATCTTATATTATCTTATAATAAGGTCTTGTAAGATCATATCGTAAGACCTTATTACAAGATTTCACAAGAAAACATCAGATCTTGCAAGGTCTTACAAGACGTGTTTCACCTGGGCATATGAAGTGCATGGTTAAGAAACGTGAGAAAAGACGGTCCTATGGTCGTCTTGGACCTGAGAGTATCAGAAATTATATAGAAAAAGAAAATTGCAGAGACATAGAGGGATTCAACATGAAATGATCAAGCGTATGATGTTATAAGATCATACAAGATCTTGGAAATTCCTATCATAAAAAAATCTTGTAAAGTCTTATAAGAATCTTGGCACAAGATGTCATATGAAGTCTTGTAAGAGCTTATAGGAAATTGATAAGAATTGATAAGATCTTTTGAAATCTTGTGATTTCTTATCATATGATCCTTCCACATCGTATATGATCTTGTTATCTGATTCTTGGACTTGGGTAGAAATGGCTAAGACATGAATGATTTAAGTTTTTCATTTTGGGCTGTAGCGTGTACTTAACGTTTATCATTTGTATTGCGTTTAAGTTATGGATTTAAAGGATTATGAATCCATTATCTTAAGGTATCATCCAAACACCAACTGGATCGTTTATTCTCATCATCGCATATGTTGGAGGAGTGACTCATTGCAGCTGTGTGTATATATATGTATACAATATTTGCGCGTGATAGTGGAAGGAAAAAGATCACAGGATGATTAAGTAATGAAGAAGAAAAAATTTCTTTTGAACAGACACATGTGCCTGAGCTTTTTTTCTCAAAACTGGCCTAAAATGGATAAAGTATTTTACCACTCATAGTAGGATACTCTTGTTGGTTAGAAATCAAATCACAGCGCTCGTATATAAGAGAGCCGTATTATTTAAGGAAAATATCACGTGTTTGACTTTTTACAGAACAAAAATAACTGAATCCTAAACATATCAGGGTGTTTGTTAGAAAAAAAATTAGAAAAAATACTATATTCACACTATCTCACTTCTAAGCAGAGAGTGGAGTAGTGTTGCATCAAAAGAAAAACATTTATTGCATTTTTCAGTGATAAAACGTGTTTCGTCGAAATTAAGATTGCTCCTATTCACATCGAATAAATTTAGAATGAAAATTTTCTTTATTCTAGAATAATGAAGCCAAACGAACACACACCATTGGCTCGATCTAAAATTGAACTTATCAAATATATCTGTCATCAGTAAGTAACTCAACATTTTGCAGATTAATAATGTACCTTCTTTTTTTTTCAATTAGACTAAATCCATTTACCTATGCTGTTAGTACGTTTTTGAGACCAGCTTTAGAAGAGTGTCAAACAACGTTGAACAATGATCCCGTAAATACACTCAATCTACTGATTAAATTGTCTCAAACATTTGTTCGAACGGCACCTGAACCAGAATTGATCCATGATGATATTAAAAGATTTGCTGGTAACGAGATTTGTGAGAAAGAGTGTAGCTTTGCTGATCTCACTTTGTTTCTAGTTGACTTACGATCTATAATTGAAAAATGTATGATTGGTGTCGATCTCAATCAAATTAAGCATCCACCAAATGGCATAGAAGGAATTATTAAGGATTTACAAAGCCTTATAGAAACAGCAGGTAGATTCTACAACTTTTTGCTTTATGGTAGACATAGGTCTCAACTATATGTCCTGTATTAATTGCTTTCTGCTGAAAATTAACGTTATACAACGCTGTACGGAAAACTTATCGAATTGTTTTTGTTTTAGATAACTAACTTAAGTGAATTTTTATTTTATTGATGGAAAAGTAATCATTATTCCCTTTGATATTTAGTTTCGACAAATTTGGAACGAATTAACCTCCTACCAACAGAAAATTCAATTCAACTTTCTTCATATACAAATAATCATTCACCCAATTCAAATCGTTATTCATCGTCAGTCTCGCCAACAATACACGAACAACAACAAACGTTATTCGCAACAGTTAATGAAACATCCACAATACCATCTTGTAGGTCTTATGGATTCATGTACATCAATGGTTATTTGACTTTCTATAATTTTTCTTTCCTATCTATAGTTTCCAATCGTCATGAAATTACCCAACTAATATCAAACCGTCACTCTAACGGCTCATTTGGTTCCACTAATTTACAATTTCAACAATCATCATCTCCACAACCGTTACAAGCCACAAATTGTGTTCAAGATGAAACACTATCGTCTTGTATTCAACACACATTACCAAGTATCGCTCAACAACAACAACAACAATCAGACAATCACAATTTAGCATCATTAATTAAAAATTTATCAATCACTCCGACATCCAATTTTTTGATTAATCGTGAAGAAACTTCTGTGTCATATTTGAATAAACTTGAAGTTAATGATACAGCTCGAAAATCCACGGTCTCAATTGCCTCATTTCCACCTCGATCATTATCCTCATTAGCAGAAAATACATATACAAATGCACCATCATCACTAAAAGCAGGAGTAGTAACGACAATAAATGGCGATGGCTATCATCTTTCATCACTGTTAAAATCAACAGAAACTCCTGCACATCTTCAAGATATTAGCGAGGATAATCACGAAAAAAATTTGATTAATTTAGCACAAAAACAAAAGTTATTAGCAATGGATACAACGTATGTTAGTCAAGAACCATCGACAACATTAACAGTTTCGGAGTAAGTTTGACAATTTGAGATTTGATATATTTTAATTAATTTTACGAATTTAGACGAACGGAAGATTCTGAGGAAGATATCAATGATTATGAACAGGAAGAAAAAGATTTTGTTGAACAAACTGAATCAAAACAATATTACGTGCGTCCTTCATTTAATAATCCACAATTGGCTGCTACTTTATTCGTTCCATGTAAACAGTCTATGTCAGTAATAGACGAAGAATCTATACAAAATCAATCATTAGCAAAAAATGAAATTATTAAAAGGCATATTACAGATGATTATATAAGAGAATGGAGTATTCAAAGAGGTATTGAGAACCGTTGTATTATTATTTTGAATGAATAACTAACTATTTCAATATCAGTACGATTTCAAACTTTTAAGACGTATTTTATTACTTCATTTAGAACGTCCGGCATTACAAGCAAATTGTTTTATGACATACAATAATCAACAAAATTCACTAGAACTACGTCGTGGTCAACCAAAAGGAAGTTTAAATAGTTACGATCAAATTCAAAATAATTGTCTTCCAATTGGTGTGTCATTAACAAACGATGATTCAACATTATTATCATGTGATGTACATGTCAATTCAAATTGTGTACGATTGTACAATGTTCAAAATGGCCACTTGACGCACAGTATATCAAGTACACGTGTAAGTATTTATAAACGATAATCAAAGAGTTTACTAGTCTAGAGGAAAGTCTTTTTTGTTGTTGCTCAAGAAATGTTTTTTCATTTAGGAAATGAAATTGAATCGTCCAAGTGCTGCTCTGATGAATTTACGTGATCAGATTGTTATAAAAGAACGTAATCATATCTATATTGTTGATTCTGATTGTGAAACTCTTATAAAAACGATCTATGATCGAAGTTTAATGAAAAATTTATATGGTATGTAGCATAGAAAATCTATGAAAGATTCTTTTTATTTTCTTTGTGTCTTAAAGGTGTTTGTTTATATGAAAATAAATATTTATTAACAATTGATCAACAACGTGCAGAAAATGGTCGCGTTTTGATGATTGATCAAGATACAGCACAAATTGTTCATTCATTTGATTTTTCACCAATTATTTTAGAAGATGAAAATTTAATTCGACGAAAATATAATCATGAAATTTTAAATGGACGAATATTACCGCCACAAGCGAGCAAATTAAGATTTCTTGCCGTTAAAAATGATAGAATTTACATAAGTGATTTAGGTACAATAAATTTTACTATTTTTCTTGTCACATCTATTTTTTACATATACAATCCAATAATCGAACTAAATTATCTCCCAAAATATTATGAGACGAACAGCAACTTTTAACGTACATGATTTACTTTTGTTGCTACACGACAACAGCATTTTTTTATCACTAAATGTTGCCTCTTTTCTTCTGTTATCAAAATGATTTGTTAACTAAATGGAATTTTTGTTGTCTATTTTTAGGTCGAAGTTTAATTTATGTAACAAATATTCATGGTCAAATATTAGATCATCAGTTTACGTTCGGTGGTATTGGTAATCAACCGGGTGAATGTTGCGATCCAGCCGGTTTAGTTATTGATACTGGTGGAAATATCATTAATGCAGATAGTAAAAATGATCGAATTCAAGTATGTAACTAAAGAAATATTACTGAAACTCTGACTCCCATTTTTATCATTAGATTTAACTTTCTACTAAATCAAATTATCTTCTGTTTAGATTTATTCTCCAAATGGTGAATACAATACCAAACTTCAGTTAAGTGAAGCAATACGTCGTCCGTCAGATATTTGTGTTGATCGTTCTGGTACTCAAATATTTATATCTTGTTATCTAAAAAGTTGTATCAAAGGATTCGATTTAAGATATTAAATATATTTCTTTTTGATAGTTAAACGTTTTTTTTCATCTGTACATACTCACAGTGTTTCATTTATAATTTACCATGTATTATCTGCATAAGAAAAATTTATTTGTACATGTCTTTTTTCTGTATGTAAGAAAACGTTTTGTCTAAGTTTGAACAGACGTGTTCTTACATTTTTTGGGCTATTATTCATTACACTACCACAAGTTGTGGCTTCTTCACTTGTGTTTTTTTGAAATATCTCTATCATTTTGTCAAAACGTAAATCGACCGAGTGAAATAACTAGTCTAAGATTGTTTTCTTTTTTTTGTTTGATACTTATAGATACGTGTATTTGTCTTGTGTATTTATCTTCTTCTTTTTGTTCTTTTGTAGAGTAAATAAAAAATATATTTGAAATTACTTTAATAATATAAGTTCGAATAAATGACATCGTATAACACTTTTGTAACGAGAACTTTTCTGGTTGTTTTTCACTAATATGAACTTTTTCCTGTTCCCAAAGGTGAATTTAGACTGAATACACATTTTTGTCACGTAATGTGACGACAGTAAGGAAAAGGAAAAAAATGTATGTGCATTAAAGTTATTCAAAAGAATCGACTAGAGAAACTGTTAAATTTGATTTTCTACTGATATACTTTCTAACTTGAACATTCATTAAATCTGCAAAGAAGGCCGTATTGAAATTCTAGAAACTGTTTTGTATATTCAGAATGATATTTATATGAAGCCGATGAACTAATTTCTTGATCAATTCGTGTTTGGTTACGCTAGTAATAATTCTGCATTCGACTGACCTACGTCATTCGATGTATCTGCCAGTTTTATATCAGGATCATCAGTTCCACTATTTCTTGGCGTTTTCGTTTGAGAAAAAAAGAATTTTTGAAAAGACATTAGATATTAATTTTTGAATTAAATTAATTTGACATTTTGACTTGTTTAAATTTGAAATAACGTTGCACTGTAAAGAGCTAAAGTTTTTTTTTGAAAAGTCATTGGATAGATCTAACAAACGTATGGGATTTGAAAAAATGTGGTTTTCTACGAACTTTGCAAAAATCCTATTAATTTCTTTTATTTTTGCGCAATTTTTTGACTGTTTAAAATAACTTTTAGCTTTATATCTTTATCTCTCATACCTATGCGGCTGCAGTTCATATCAAAATGATTTGATCTTCTGAATGGCTCTTTGGTAGAATCTTAAAGCATTTCTGTCGCTCGTCGGTTTTGCTTTTGTTGAAATGTCTTTTCTGTGATTCTACGACTTTTACCAGCTCAAGGAACTGATAGAGTAGTAACATAGTTCCTATATCAAGAACAAAATCAGTAGTCCTCATGAAAAATATCACCTCCCCAGGTCCACGGATTAGATAACAAGATCTTGGAAGATCTTACAAGATCATATACAATCTTGGGTGATCGTATAATAAGAAATCATAAGATTTCAAAAGATCTTAGCAATTCTTATCAATTTCCTATAAGATCTTACAAGATTTCATATGATCTTGTAGCAAGATTCTTATAAGATTTTACAAGACTTTTCTTATCATAGGAATGTACAAGATCTTGTATGATCTTATAAGATCTTACACAAAGAAGGTATAAGAAATTATACGACCTTATAAGAAGTCACAAGATTTTATACGATCTTACAAGATCATACGC